CGACAGGTGAATGCAAAGAAAATGTAAAAAAAACTACGTGGGGGTCAGCTCCTACCCTTGAAATTCACACTAAACCCTTCATGGTTTTTAGGAGGGAACCTTGTGCAAAAAAAAAGGATGGTTCTAGAACCATATTTGAACATGCAGTCTGGCTGACCAGGAAATATTGGGGAAGTGAGGGGGTGAGCATGCCTCTTCTTAAACCATACCAGGCCACAGGTCCTCAATACTGGAAGATTATCTGGCTGAGTCTAATTGGTATCATTCTGTGCATTGCCAGACTAGGTGTCAAGGCTCTGTCCACAGTGGTACTCAAAGACCTGGCATTCTTGCCAGTACTTTGCAGTACTTTGCACCCTGGTGCACATAAATGCGCATTGGCGCACAGTTGCACATGCCACCAACCCATTTTGGTGCCAGACAGCCTTTATAAGGAAGCCAATCACTCCCTCCAATTGCTGGTTGATCTCTGGCTCCTCAGTACCTTTTTGTCCTTATGTTTCCTTGCTATTGTGATCTCCTGTTACCAACTCGGCTTGTTTTTGGACCTGTCTTCTCTGCCCGTCTCCTGACCTGACCCCAGCTTGGCTAACGGATCTTCTCGCTTTCTCTCCTGTGTATGACCCCAGCTTGGCTAACGGATCTTCTCTTTCTCTCCTGTGTATGACCCTGGCTTGGCTAACAGATCTTCTCTTGTGCTATCCTGTGTATGACCCCAGCTATAAATCTGACTACGTCTGCATTGATCTCCGCCTGCCCCCTGACCCCGGCTACTTTTCAGTCATCTGCTACACTGAAGACCTACTATCTCTCACGGGCACCACCTGTCTGCAGACACCACTCCAGTACAACAGCTGTACTCCTGGGTGAACCTCTGACAAGCAACCTGTCAGATCATCTCTACAAGCCCTGCTGCTCCCCATGCTACTTTGGGCCTGAACCCTTCTATCCCATCTTCAGAGGAGTCTGGAACTTAGCCGCAAGGGAAGCCCTCTCTCCATTGGCCTCCAGCACCAGGTACGTGATACTAGGTCTTGGTCGCAGAGTGAAGGTTGATGCTGCTCATTCTATATGTAACCGTTGTGTAGATTCCAGTAACAAGTCTGATGCGGGTATTTTCTACAATCGTCAGCCCCATTTAGTGGCCAAAGCGCAGTATTTTTCTGATTGAGGTATTTCAGAAAAATACCACATTGTGGCCACTGAATGAAGCTGACTAGCGCATAGAAATGCACATGTGTGCAACATCATGCATAGAAATGAGCAAGGGTGCATTGCTAATAAAAACGAGTGTAGGCTCACGCATGCGTGCAAGAATGCCCGTACACAGGTGCTCGCACGTGGAGCGTGCCCACAGTTTCTGGCACCAGACGGACAATTTAAAGGAGGCTCTTACTCTCTGTCAGTGCTGACTGGTCTTCAGCTAATTCCCAGTGTCCTGCGTATATCCGTTACTGACCCGGCTTGCCATTGATCTGCTCTTAGATCCTGTTTATGCTTCTCTCATTGGTTTCTGATCCTGGCTTCCTCCTGACCTTGTCCCTGTCTGATGTTCCGGTACCTCATCGCCTGCTTCATTGCTGACCCTGGCTATTACTCTGACTACACGATTCCGGCTCTACAGTCCTGCCAATTGCTCGTCCTGGCTATCCATTATATCAGCTCCAGTTGTCACGGTGTGTTCTGGCCTCACGCTTATCAGAAGTTCCGGCAAGCCACGTACCCAGATCTTGCAGTTCCAGTGGAGTTCTTCCTTAACCTCAGCTGGCCGTTGCCGGCATCTGCTGTTCCTGACTGGATGCCCTGCTTGATGTACCGAGGTTACACCACCAGCCGCAAGTTCTGCAATCAATATCCGCAGGCACTCGTGTTCCTCCTGTCCCTAAGCACCATCTGTTCCATCTTCAGTGGGGCCTGGGTTGGAGATTACAAGAGAGGCTGACCTCGTCAATTCAGAATTCTATCGGGTATGTGACACACATTATGGAAAACATTCATGATAGCTGACAGACCTCAGTGTATCACTCCAATAAAATCATTCTTTGGACTCTTAAAAAAAAACAGCTGTCTTTTTCTCAAAGTCAAATGATGTTCTGTTTGGATTGAACAAGTCTGCTCTCAGGGTCATGGGGATGAAACCCATTCCAGACTGATTTAAATTGGGAAGACTAACTGGTGGAGAAGGTCACAACTGTGTACCATCTTTGGTTCCACTGTAGACCAATCATAGGAATGTACATTTTTCTATTGAATCTGGGGGGATAGAGGGTTCAAACTCCCTCTAAAATGTTTGTCAGTAGTGCAGTCTGCTTTCTGTAAATGAGTTGAAAAAGGCTTTCTAAATCAATTGCCTATCCAAAGCTTAGCATGATCCGACCAAGCCTTGAACAGGTATTGGATTGGGGTGGTTCCTATGTCTTGGAGGTGGGCATTATGAAGCTCGGAGCTCTGAGGTGTACTGCCAGTCAGGACAAGGGTACAGAAGGGCACTACAGCTAGACCTAGTAGGTGGCAGTGGCTCTCTGACTGGAGGGGAGACAGCTGTGTTATGCATCTGGTGCGCATCCAGTGTCAGTGTTTGCAGAGGCTGACAATGACACCCTGGGGAGGTTTGGACCCCCCAATTCCCCCCTTATCTACGCCCCTTGTATCTGAATCGGTGCTCTCTGGGTTGTTGCTTGCTTTTGTTCCTATCATTGTCCTACTGGTATTTGTCTTTGTCCTGTCCGGTGTAACACCTTCTACAGTCAAACCATTTGCAGGAAGTAGCAGGTTGGGATGAATCACTCTTGATTTGTTGGCTTTCTCTGGTTTATCTTTATTAGATATGCTCAATCTGCTCCCCTTGCTTTGTACATTTCCTTTTCTCAGTATGTCTCAAGCTTAGCATGGCTTCCCCTTTCCAATAACTTTCTTACAAGACCCCGGTCTCCATACTGTAGTGCCACTCCTTTTGCCACTATTATCTGAAAACTTTGCTGGACCATCTTCACACTTTCTTCCTGCACCTGCCAGCACCAGAGATTGTACAATTTCTTGGTAGAGTATTGTAACGGGAGTCACTTTGGATGGGGGGGCCCATGGAACACAACTCACTTTGGAGAGGTGGGGAGACCCCTGTCTCAGCTCCCCATATCCCTCTTATGTGTAAGTCACCCTGTGCCTGTTAGGGGTACAGGGTGATTTGGCCTAATATTGGGGTGGGGGGCAGGGGCGGACTGACCATTTGGAAACTCGGGCACTGCCCGTGGGCCCGGGGTCAGTAGGGGGCCCCATGAGATGCCCCTGGTACCTTTTTCATAGGCTTTTTTGAGTTTGGGCAAGGACACAGGGACCCCATGATCCCCTATTGCCCGGGGGCCCCATGAGTTGTCAGTCTGCCCCTGGGTGGGGGGTTGTGGACTGTTTAATGCCATGTGGTTGCATGCCATTGCTCTATTGTGTGTCTTACTTGAGAGCAAACTGTTATGGGATGTATGTGTCTATGTGTATTGACTTGGTGGGGGGGGTGTCTCCAGCAGCCTCCCTCCTGATGGGACTGTCTGCTGGTGTGTCTCGTTACTAAAGGTAGATTACCCCACCCTGTGTCATTATGCAGGAAGGAGGGGTTGTTCCCTTAAATGTATATATCTTGTATCTGTGTTAAAATAAAGTCGTCTATTTCCTGGTTTACTTCAAGACTGGTATCTCCTAGTCTTGTATGGTCTGCGGTCGGTGTTCAGGCGAAGAAGCCGTATCCTAATTGAAATACCCAATTGCAGTCGGGGTCCGGTTCCGTTACAAGTATCAACTCGTACAGTTCATTCTACAAGTGAAGCATGAGTGGTGCTGCCATAGTCTATGGCGTCTTCTGTTTCTTGTGTAACGTCGGTCATGGCTAATATGGGTGCAACAGTCAGTGGGACTTACCTCTCCAATTCTAATCTGACTGCTTTAGTAACATTTTATAGAATACCATCATCAGTTACTGATCAGTCTGAGGTGTATGGTTTGATATCCCTTCCAATGTCATATGTTTCACTTAACCCCCGGGTATAATGTGTGAAGAAATACTTCTTGAACCAGGTTCTTCTCACTTGATGAGGTGACCACAGAACTGCTTTGCTTGTCCTCCTATGTCCACTAATGTGAACCCATCTTCTGTCATTTACAATGGTCTGTCCTCTCTTAGGGTTGGTCTGCGATCTCCCACCTTACTTACATTAGGATTTCCAGAGCTGCTTTCTCCCAATAAATACAAAACCTGTTCTGTTACCCAGATTAGGAAATTCTCACCTCTGACTTCTCACTGCACTTGTTCCATCACCTACCTACAGATCTCCACCTCACTCCAACCCCTAGCTTGAGGAACTTCTTTATTCTTTCCTGTGATCATCAGCTTTGTCTAATGGCCATAATGCAGCATTTTTCCTGAATGACCTTAAAGTGGAAAAATACCGCATTACTGCCACTAGATTGATAAATACAGTAATAAATAAAATATGGACAGAATTGGTCATGACACAGTAAATGCTTGTCACATTTATCCAACAAATGCTTTATTAACAGACCTCTAAGTGTTTGTGAAATCTTCCACCACAAAATGAACTCAGCCAATGAAAGGTGATGCCTCCATTTTTATTCTTCTCCTGCTATCAATGGCCAACCCGGTCCCACATTTCATCCACGTCTTTAACATGTGCTCTGCTGGACACTGATAGAAGTCACAAGACTTCTATTCATCTATGTCTTTGGTGACCTCTGATCTCCTTAGGAACTGTTTCTTCCATGATGATCAGCCATGGAGTATATCTGAGGTGTATATCAGGGTGTGCTTCTTCCCCACATGAGAGCTGGGATGTCCAGCAATATTCATCTAGAAAAAATTTCCCGCACTCAAGGCACTATTACACCTCGAAGGTTGTGTGGGATCTCTTATGTAGAGTAAGACAGGACTTCAGTGAGGAACATTTCCCTCACTCAGGACAGGAAAGTGACTTTTCCCCCATGTGAGATCTCTGATGTCTGTAAAGATTGGACTTCTGTGAAAAACATTTCCCGCACTCAGGACAGGAATACGGCTTCTCCCCCGTGTGCAATCTCCGATGCTTTATAAGAACTGATTTTGTTACAAAACATTTCCCACACTCAAAACAAGAAAAAGGTTTCTCCCCAGTGTGAGACCTTTGATGCATTAAAAGATTTGACTTCTCTGAAAAACACTTCCCACAATCAGAACAGTAATACGGTTTTTCACCAGTGTGAGACTTCTGATGTCTAACGAGTTTTGATTTTTTTACAAAGCATTTACTGCACTCAGGACAGGAATAAAGAGTCTCCCCAGTGTGAGATCTTTGATGTGTGACAAGGTCTGATTTCTTTGAAAAACATCTCCCACACTCAGGACAAGAAAACATTTTCTCATCCACGTGAAACCACAGATGTGTGTCAAGTTCAGATTTTTGTAAAAAAACATTTTCCACACTCAGGACAGAAATACGGCTTCTCCCCTGTGTGAGACCTCTGATGAATAGAAAGATTGGACTTCTGTGAAAAACATTTCCCACACTCAGGACAAGAATACGGCTTCTCACCCGTATGAGATCTTTTATGTACGGTAAGACGGGATTTAAACCGGAAACACTTTCCGCACTCAGTACAGGAGAACCTCTTCTCTGTATGAAGCCTGGCCCAGTCCCGCACAGTCTGAGGTTCCTCAGGATACGAGGAATCCGATGGTCCATCTACACTGGGTGGTGCCGGATGGACATTGGAGGGAGCCGGGTTTTCTCCTGGACTATACTGTGTGATGTCCTCATCTTCTACTTTCCAGTCTGGAGACAAAGTGAGACAATCCTCTGAGGTTTTCCTCATCTCCCGGCCATGGACTAAAAGACAAAGAGGATTACTAGACAGGAGCAGGAGCTGATTGGTTCCCCCAAACCAGGACTCCGCCCACATCAGGCAGCTTGGTCTCTGAGGAGCTGACAATTCCACCCTCAAGGGAACTAGGAAATGGCTCCTCTGATCTCCTACCAGGTCATTTCTTTATTCATGGACCTTAGTCAGAGAGTGAGGAAACAACCAGAACTGTCTTTTATAGGAGGGACAGTGATGAGGGGATTATAGTCCCACCAGAGGTCAGAGAGTGAGGATGAGAGAGAACAACCAAGATAAAGACTGGACTGATCCTGAAGACCACCATCACTGGGGTATTGACTACTCACTCATCACTTTCTGTTTAAGGGTCTAAAGTTGGATGATGTTATCACATTATTATCAACATGTAAAGTCTGTGCTCCAATCACATCATCCGATATAAAATGTCCAGCTGGTAGGAAATGGGGGGAACAAAAGAGAATCCATATTATGTGTATATATAGCAGTGGGTGGAGAGCAGAAGTCAGGACTATGGAATGTGCAATATAGAGTGTATATTTCAGGGGTCAGGACACATAATATTGGTATTCAGTAATCAGTGGAAGCTTAAATATTTACTGTAGACAAGCTGCAGAGGTCCCACACCGCTGCCTCCCATCTCCTGAGACTGCACTCAGTGACTTGGGTCTGAGACTATACAGACATATCTCTCCACCCGGCACAGCCAGCAGACAACAGAACAAGTAACCCTGGGAGAATTGCTCTGTCAGAGATCTTGCTAGATCCAGGCATAGGGCAGAAGACTGGAGGCACACGCACCAGGTGCTTAGGTTGAGCAACACCTACGGTGAAAATCCACATTTTGCTGCCAACTGAACCCCAGAATCTCCATAAATCCAGTCTAGATACATAAATTGTGTCTGCAGCACAGAGAAGGAAGATTATCCAGAGAAATCCAGGAATACAGGACGGGGAACACAGCTCAGGAAAGTGACCAGGGGATTACAGGCTGATATCACCCAGTCCCCGCCCTACTCTGGACCAATCAGTGAGCAGTATGGGTGGAGGAATGGATTTAGTGTTCATGACCCACCTGTGCTGATCTCTGTAGGAGTGTCCTCCTCTATAAATGTCCCCGTTATTCCATCCTCCTCCATAGACTGCTGATCATCCCTCACATACGCCTCTTCTTCTTCTGATTTAACCTCAACTTTTATATCTATCAGATCTTCACCCTAAAACAATAAAAAGATCAACAATACCATCTTTAAAATATAAACTTTAACATTGTGACATCACTTAAAAACATCCACACACTGTCTCCACAGTCCATGCTCTTAGATGCTCCAACACACTAACCTTGTAGTGGTGAGGGATGGTGTGACCTTCCTGTGTGGAATTCCGGGAATACAGAGGACGGGGACATCTCTCTGGTGGGATCCTGGTATTAGGTGGCTCCATCATATCCTTGTGTCCTTCAGTAAGCTCCTCCATCACTCCATACTCCTCATCCTCCTCTTTAACAACAATACCATCATCCCCGAGGTTTCCACTCTGAATATATACAACATTAATTGTAACAAACAAGCTGTGTATAAATCAGAACTACCAATAATTGTCAATCATCTACCTGATCATGGTGAGGGATAGTGACACCCTAACACCTTATAGGAACCTGACACACACGATGATACAGTCACCATCCAAACACATCCCTTGTCTGTTACTGGAGAATGTCCCAGAATTCCCGGCACCGCTCACCTCTCCTGTCAGCAGCTCCATCATCTTCTTGGTGACTTCTAGAATCTTCTGCATGTTGTGTCTCTCAGGTGTCAGGGGCTGAGGTGGAGGCACTATGGTGGATGGGCCATGAGGATGGCTGGTGGGTGGCATTCGCTTGCCAGATGACTTCAATACTACTTCATAATCCTATATTAGAAAAGCCAATTATCAACAACAATCCTCCTTTATTAATAGAGATAAGAGTGATGTCATGTGACCTCCCAGAATCCTCCTCACCTCTCCGGTCAGCAGGTAGATGATCTCCAGGGTGAGGTTTAGTATCTTCTCAGTCATGTGACTCCAGTCCTCCTCCATCCTCATTGGTGCCATCATGTGATCTATACAGGCCTCCTTGTAGATGGAATAATTCAGGAAATGAAAGTAAGAATGATTTGGATGGTATTGGTCACACAATAATAGTATGTGGATGTGAGGGGGGAATAGGAGGGCTGCTGGACATGTAAGAACTACTGCCCCCATGGGAACACATTTTGTTTGGACTGTTTAGTGGTTGCTATAATTTTTTAGGCCCCGGAACCCTCTTGGCCTGCTGAATCAGAAGTTCCCTTTCCTTTTTTGGGGTTTGTTTGGTCTCTAAACTGGTTTTGATTAGTTTTAGATCTGCAGACAAGGAATGATAAATACAGTCCTTCTTTTCAAGGGGGAGAAGAGGGTTGCTGTACATTTCAGAACTACTGCCCCCATGGGAACACATTTAGTTTGGACTGTTTAGTGTTTGCTAGATTTTTGAGGTCCCAGAACTCTTTTAGCATGCCAGATCATAAATGCAATCCTCATTCTGTCTTCTTGTTTGCTCTGAGGCAGTGCTGTGAGGTCAATGTAGGTCCATCATGATGTCCAGGAAGGGGAACTTGCTGACTTTTGGCCCCGGTTACCGGCTAATCAGGATAATTGCCAGATCTCTGGGTACAAGGCTTTGATCTCCGGCAACCTGCTGACTGACAGGAGTGATGTCACTGTCACTCTCTGCAGTAAGAGAAGGGATTGGATTGGATAGTAGGACAATGCTGCTGATGGAGTAGAGAGCTGTGGGGGGAGGAGTCTGTTCTCTTCCCTCCAATGGCAGCCCAGTGTGGGTAGGAGGATGGCAGGGGGGTGGGGGCTAGGGGTTTGTTCTCTTGGTTGCCAAGTATACTGTAGTATCCAGAGTACAGAGTGGCAATGGGATCCTGGAATTCTGGATTCCAGCATTGGCACTACCAGAGCTTATGTATTCCTAAGGCCTATGCCTAAGGTATTCGATTGCCTCCCCAGATGCATATCACTGACCCCTGACCACATGTTAGTCACTGCACAAACAGATAGCCCCGGGCACTGCCAGAGCCTGTGTCATGGGAAGGTAGTGGACTGCTTCTCCTAGATGCACAACACTGACCCCTGACCATCTGTTAGGTGATGCTGTTAAAACAGGCCTCCCCCAAGAATGAGTTCCCACCAAGGAATGAAGGACTGCCCTTTTTCGCTCCACATGATATTTTAGGAAATTTTATTTGACCAGTGAGATGGTAAGAAGGTGAAGGTCGCCTTCATTTTTGTAAGTGCAGATAGGAGGACCATCATAGACCAAAAGCCCCCTCCTTACCTTACAGGAGTCCTACAGCCTCCTATTCCTACAAAGCTCTGCTGCCCACCATCCTTATCAATGGCCCGGAGTCCTTCAGCTATACTACCCCTATTGTACAGCGCTGAGCAAACCCTTTGGCGCTATATAAACTCGTAGTAATAATAATAATAATAATGGGATTCAAAGTCCTTCAGACTCAGTACCCCCTCTGCTGCTCTACTTTCCTCAGAACCCTCAGTATTTTCCTCCCTCTGACACCAATGATGGAACATATTCTTCATGGCCGGCTGGGGAATGTTTTCTTCCTCCTGAGCAGCAATGTAAGGGGCTCTATGCTCCATACTCCTGACCCCGGCACTCCATCATTGTGTTGGCTGCATAGTGTAATGATTGCCCATTGGCTGCCTGTGTAGTGTCATCATTGCCCTTTGTAGGCCATGTATGGTCAGGATGGTCCTTGTCTTGTCTATTTATTGTCAGTGCTGTTTGTTTAGAGGACCATATTACTAGAATTTATCTCCACAATGAGGAGAATGTTCTGGCCCCAGAAGTGGGGGAATGTTGTGCCCCTGAAGGGATTAATCTGGGTTCCCACACTATATATGTGTGTATCATCATCTGCTGGAGATAAAAGATGTCACAGTGACTATGGAGGAAGAGGATGGACGTGACTATGGAGGAGGAAGAGGACGGACAGGACTATGGAGGAAGAGACGGACAGGACTATGGAGGAAGAGGACGGACGTGACTATGGAGGAAGAGGACGGACGTGACTATGGAGGAAGAGGACGGACAGGACTATGGAGGAAGAGGACGGACAGGACTATGGAGGAAGAGGACGGACAGGACTATGGAGGAAGAGGACAGACATGACTATGGAGGAAGAGGACGGACATGACCATGGAGGAAGAGGAAGGACAGGACCATGGAGGAAGAGGACGGACGTGACCATGGAGGAAGAGGATGGACATTACGGGGGTTACTGCTTGTAAATAGGAAATAACATCTTATTACCTCCTCTACTGCCACTTCCACCAATGTCTCCTCTCTACTTCCTCCCCGTTCACCTCTCACCCAGAACTTCCTGTCTGTACCTGACATCACTTCCTGTCTGTCTTCCATAGAGACTTCTTTTCTGGGTAAAAGTGAGATCACCACCTTGTGGAGCTCAGAGGAACTGCAGCCCCGAGAACCGTCTGGTAGTGTCACGCCAACCTTGTGCTGTGTGTGTATGGACTGTATGTCTTTATAGATGGGTAATGTAGGGTTGACACCTCATCCCTTTAAAGCCAAACACATATTAATTACACGGGTTCTGTGGCTGATTAAGGTGGCAATTAAACTCACTTTGTGCCTTATCTGCCTTGTGACTTTACCATTAGGATCAACAGCACAACCATTGGTCCTTCCCCTCATGCCAGGGTGCTCGGTGTAATCCTAGACTCTGACCTCTCCCTTAGGCCCCACATCCACTCACTGGCTAAATCCTGCTGCCTCAACCTCCGGAACATTTTCAAAATTCGCCCCTTCCTAACGACCCTACAAAACAGTGGGCAGGGCAGAACAGTGGCTAAATGGTTAGTACTTCCACCTGGCAGTACTAGGATCATTGGTTCGAATCCCAGCCATGGCACCACCTGCCTGGAGTTTGCATATTCTCCCTGTGCCTGCGTGGGTTTCCTTCGGGTACTCCGGTTTCCTCCTACACTCCAAAGACATGCTGGTAGGTGAATTGGCTCCTGTCTAAATTGTCCCTAGTATGTGTATGCATGAATGTGAGTTAGGGACCTTAGATTGTACGCCCCTTGAGGGTCTTATTTGAGCCAGACTAACTATTTCTATATCAACTCCCACCAAGGGGGATAGAAATATATTAGTGGACTACCTAGTCCAACCTTTCTCAGCCAGGGTTCCTCCAAAGGTTGCTAGCAGTTCCTCGGGGGGGGACGAACAATTTCTGTTTCTCAGTGGGGATGACAACGATAAAGTTAACCCAAACCCAAACTTTTCACATTTCATCAAATGGGCAAAATAAATGGTCAGATTTGGCCAGTGCTCCCATTTGCCATACTACCAGATATCCATCAAGAGGCCTCTTTCTGGAGCCTAAGGTCATTCATTTAGTGACCGTGTCACCACTACCACTAAGCCCTGGTTCACACTATGAACCACATGTGAATCACAGAAGAACCGCCCCTCATTCCTGTGGAATTGACATTAAATGCAGTGCAGACAAATGCCCTGCATTTAGGGTGTTGTTGGCTTAGTATTGACACCTGCGGGAAACTTATGCAGCACCTAAGTGTGAACCTAGACTAAATGACAGCTTCCTGCCCACCGTCTTGTTTGACCTTGTAAACAATTCAGTGGGATTCCTAAGTGATGTCATGTTCCATGATTGTATTTAGTCACTGACATCAGACAGAATCACTCCCGGTTTGTACACATTCAGCAGTTGACCTGGAAGATATAAATAGTGATAGGAGAACAATGGGAAAGGATCGTCCTGGCAAGAGTTGTCATGTTTTTGTCATCAAGGGGTTATTTATTGTGCCTAGTCCAACCTTTCTCAGAGTTTCTCCAAAGGTTTCTAGGGGTTCCTTGAGAAATTAGCAATTTCTGTCTCTCAGTAACAACTGACATCTATGATCTGTAAGGGGGGCAGTCTTCCCAATGATGATAATGCAAGAACCTCCTTCTCCTATTGACCACTGATATAAAGGGTCCTTCTCCCATTGGTCACCAATATAAGGGACCACTACACTGACCACTGATATAAGGGGATCCTTCTCCCATTGGTCACCAATGTAAAGGACCACTACACTGACCACTGATATAAGGGGGTCCTTCTCCCATCGGTCACCTATGTAAGGGATCACTACACTGACCACTGATATAAGGGGTCCTTCTCCCATTGGTCACCAATGTAAGGGACCACTGATATAAGGGTATCCTTCTCCCATTGGTCACCAATGTAAGGGACCACTACACTGACCACTGATATAAGGGGGTCCTTCTCCCATCAGTCACCAATATAAGGGACCACTACACTGACCACTGATATAAGGGTATCCTTCTCCCATTGGTCACCAATGTAAGGGACCACTACACTGATCACTGATATAAGGGTATCCTTCTCCCATTGGTTACCAATGTAAAGGACCACTACACTGACATAAGGGGATCCTTATCCCATTGATCACCAATGTATGGGGCCACTACACTGACCACTGATATAAAGAGCCAATGATCATAGGGAATCACAGTGTGAAATATGGCAAATATTCATCATGGCTGGGCAAATGCTGGTCACAATCATTTACCAAATAAAAAAAAAAGACCTATAAATGTTTGTGAAATTTCCCACCACAAAATGTACTCAGCCAATGAAAGGTGATGACTCCATTTTTATTCTTCTCCTGCCATCAATGGCCAACCCGGTCCCACACTTCATCCATGTCTTTGTTGACCTCTGATCTCCTTATGAACGGTCTCTTCCATGATGAAGATCAGCCATGGAGAATATCTGAGGTGTATATCAGGGTGTGCTTCTTCCCCACATGAGAGCTGGGATGTCCAGCAACATTCATCTAGAAGACATTTCCCACACTCAGAACAGAAATATATCTTCTCACCCGTGTGCCATTTCTGATGTCTATAAAGAAAGGACTGGTCTGAAAAATATTGCCTGCACTAAGGAGAGGAAAGCGGCTTGTCCTTTGTATGAGACTTTTCATGTCTGACAAGATGTGATTTACTTACAAAACATTTCTCACACTCAGGACAGGAATACGGCTTTTCCCCCGTGTGAGATCTGAGATGTACAGAAAGAGTAGACTTCCTTAAAAAACACTTCCCACACTCAGGACAGGAATGTGGCTTCTCACCCGTGTGCCCTTTCTGATGATCATAAAGATGTGCTTTCTCTGTAAAACATTTCCCACACTCGGGACAGGAAAATGGTTTCTCCCCCGTGTGAGACCTTTGATGTGAGATCAGATGTGATTTACTTGCAAAGCATTTCCCGCAATCAGAACAGGAATACGGCTTCTCCCCTCTGTGAGATCGCTGATGTCTGTAGAGATTTGATGTCTGTGAAAAAGATTTCCCGCACTCAGGACAGGAATGTGGCTTCTCACCTGTGTGAGATCTTTTATGCACATACAATCGGTGTTTAAAATGGAAACCTTTCCCGCACTCAGTACAGGAGAAGCTCTTCCCTGTTGGAAGGCCGGCTTGGTCCCGCACAGTCTGAGGTTCCTCAGGATACGAGGAATCCGATGGTCCATCTACACTGGGTGGTGCCGGATGGACATTGGAGGGAGCCGGGTTTTCTCCTGGACTATACTGTGTGATGTCCTCATCTTCTACTTTCCACTCTGGAGACAAAGTGAGACAATCCTCGGAGGTTTTCCTCATCTCCCGGCCATGGACTAAAATACAAAGACAAAGAGGATTACTAGACAGGAGCTGATTGGTTCCCCCAAACCAGGACTCCGCCCACATCAGGCAGCTTGGTCTCTGAGGAGCTTACAATTCCACCCTCAAGGGAACTAGGAAATGGCTCCTCTGATCTCCTACCAGGTCATTTCTTTATTCATGGACCTTAGTCAGAGAGTGAGGAAACAACCAGAACTGTCTTTTATAGGAGGGACAGTGATGAGGGGATTATAGGATGAGGGTCCCCCCCCTCTCTATCACTCATCGCCATCTTCCCAACACAAGAAGTACTGCACTTCCTTATTTAGTCCATGATTTAGTCATGAAGAACAGCGGGGCTGAGCCCCACCAGAGGTCAGAGAGTGAGGATGGGGGAGAACAACCAAGATGAAGACTGGACTGATCCTGAAGACCACCATCATTGGGGTATTGACTCCTCCCTCATTATCACTTTCTGTTTAAGGGTCCAAAGTTGGAGGATGTTATCACATTATTATCACCATGTAAAAGTCTGTGCTCCAATCACATCATCCGATATAAAATGTCCAGCTGGTAGGAAATGGGTGTAACAAAAGAGAATCCATATTATGTGTATATATAGCAGTGGGGGGAGGGGGGAGAGAGCAGAAGTCAGGACTATGGATTGTACAACATAGAGTATATATATATATATATATATATATACACACAGGGGTCAGGAGTATGTACTATAAAATATAAAAAGTATATATTTCAGGGGTCAGGATGCATAATATTCAATAATCATTTGACGCTTAAATGTTTACTGCAGACAAGTTGCAGAGGTCCCACACCGCTGCCTCCCATCTCCTGAGACTGCACTCAGTGACTTGGGTCTGAGACACTACAGACATATCCCTCCACCCGGCACAGCCAGCAGACTACAGAGCAAGGAACCCTGGGAGAATTGTTCTGTCAGAGATCTTACTAGACCCGGGCATGGGGAAGAAGATCCAAAGCACATGCTCCCCGGTGCCTAGGTCTAGTAATGCCTATGGCAGAAATCAACAGGTTGCTGCCAGCTGATCCCCAGAATCTCCATAAATGCAGTCTAGATACATAAATTGTGTCTGCAGCACAGAGAAGGAAGATTATCCGAGAGAAATCCAGGAATACAGGACAGGGAACACAGCTCAGGAAAGTGACCAGGGGATTACAGGCTGATATCACCCAGTCCCCGCCCTACTCTGGACCAATCAGTGAGCAGTATGGGTGGAGGAATGGATTTAGTGTTCATGACCCACCTGTGCTGATCTCTGTAGGAGTGTCCTCCTCTATAAATGTTCCCCGTTATTCCATCCTCCTCCATAGACTGCTGATCATCCCTCACATACGCCCTCTTCTTCTTCTGCTTTAATCTCAACTTTTACATCTATCAGATCTTCACCCTAAACCAAGAGAAGAAACAACAATAACATCTGTAAATTATAAGCTTTACTATTGAGACATCACATTAATGAAAATTTACACTTAACCTCCATGAGTTCATGTTCTTGAATCTAGATGATCCTTCACACCAACCTTGTAATGGTGAGGGATGGTGTGATCTTCCTGTGTGGAATCCCAGGAATACAGAGGACGGGGACATCTCTCTAGTAAGTTCCTGGTATTAGGTGGATTCATCATACCTTCTGAAAACTCCTCCATCACTCCATACTCCTCATCCTCCTCTGTATACTCTTCTTTAACAACAATATTATAATCCCCGAGGATTCCACTCTGAATATATAAAAAAAAATAATTGTAACAAACATGCTGCTTTTAAATCATAACTACCAATAATTGTCAATCATCTACCTGATGATGGTGAGGGATGGTGTGACCTTCCTGTGTGGAATCCCGGGAATACAGAGGACAAGGACATCTCTCTGGTGGGTTCCCATGACTGGATCCATCTGTAGGAAACACACACACTGACTGAATCCATTGTTTCTATGTGTTTATCAGATGATGGGGGATCTAGGTGGATCCTCCGTACTGCTCTCTCCTTTACAATAAAGTCTCCTCTTACCCGGTGATGTGAGGGGCGGCTGATTCTCCTTAATGGCACCCTTCAAGAGATCACATTACCTGATAATGTGAAGGTCTACAGATCTTCAATCAGCAATTTACATATGTGATGAAAGTGACTTTGAGGGGTGGGGAGACCCCTGTCTCAGCTCGCCATATCCCTCTTATGTGTAAGTCACCCTGTGCCTCTTAGGGGTACAGGGTGAAATGTTCTAATATTGGGGTGGGGGGTTGTTCATTGTTCACTGCCAGGTGGTGCATCCCATTGTTTCTATTGTGTGTCTTGCTTGGGAGCAAACGATTATGGGAAGTAATGTTTCCGGCAGTCCTTTCCCCTGATGGGACGGCCTGCTGATGTGTTTCCTGTTACTGGGTGCATTTCCCCGCCCTGTGTATATATCTTGCATCTATGTTAAAATAAAGCAGTCTATCACCTGGAATCCTTCCAAGTCTGGTGCTGTCTCCTCTTGTATGGTCAGCGGTGGTGTCCGTGGATCTGTGTTCAGACAGAGAAGCGGAAGTCTAACGGAAATACCCTAGTGCAGTCGGGGTCCGGTTCCGTTACATTGGTGGCAAGCGGTGGGATTGTGCTTCCAAGCTGTGAACAAGTCCAAACCACCACCGGGATTCAAGATCAGGAAAAGAGACGTCGGTCACCCCAGTGGAGATATGGACCTGGCATCAGAGTTCCCAGGGCTGCTGCAGACTGTTCTTACAACATACAGTTGCAAGAAAAAGTATGTGAACCCCTTGGGATTACGTGGAGTTTTGCATGACTTGGGCATAAAATGTGCTCTGAACGTCATCTAAGTCACAACAATAGAAGAACACAGTCTGCTGAACATAATACTACACAAACATTAGATGTTGCCATGGTTTAATTGCACATAACATGTAAACATTCACAGTGCAGGGAGGAAAAAGTATGTGGACCTTTGGACTTAATAACTGGTTGACCCTCCTTTGGCAGCAATAACCTCAACCAAACGTTTCCTGTAGTTGCAGATCAGACCTGCACAACGATCTGGAGTAATTTTGGACCACTCCTCTTCACAAAACTGTTTCAGTGTAGCAATATTCTTGGGATGTCTGGTGTGAATCGCTCTCTTAAGGTCATGCCACAGCATTTCAATTGGGTTGAGGTCAGGACTCTGACTGGGCCACTCCAGAAGGCGTATTCTGTGCTGTTGCAGCCATTGTTTTGTTGAATTACTTGTATGCTTTGGGTCATTGTCCTGTTGCATCACCCATCCTCTGCGGAGCTTCAGTTGGCGGACAGATGGTCGTACGTTTTCCTGCAAAATGTCAACAATCCGTCCAGGCCCTGAGGCAGCAAAGCAGCCCCAAACCATGATGCTCCCTCCGCCATGTTTTACAGTGGGGATGAGGTTTTGATGTTGGTGTGCTGGGCCTTTTTTTCTCCACATATAGTGTTGTGTGTTCTTCCCAAACAACTCAATCTTGGTTTCATCTGTCCACAGTATATTTTGCCAGTAGTGCTGTGGAACATCCAGGTGCTCTTTTGCAAACTTCAAACGTGCTGCAATCTTCTTTTTGGACAGCAATGGCTTCCTCCGTGGTGTCCTCCCATGTACTCCATTCTTGTTTAATGTTTTCCTTATTGTAGATGTGTCAACAAAAATGTTAGCATGTGCCAGAGATTTCTGTAGGTCTTTAGCTGACACTCTGGGATTCTTCTTTACCTCATGCAGCATTCTGCGCTGTGCTCTTGCAGTCATTTTTACAGGACGACCACGCCTAGGGAGAGTAACAACAGTGCTAAACTTTCTCCATTTGTAGACAGTCTGTCTGAACGTGGACACATGAACATCAAGGCTTTTGGAGATACTTTTGTAACCCTTTCCAGCTTCATGCAAGTCAACAATTCTTGATCGTAGGTCTTCTGAGAGCTCTTTTCTGCGAGGCATGGTTCACATCAGACAGTGCTTCTGGAAACCAGTAAACCCAAAACAGGTGTGTGTTTTTTAAGGGCAGGAGAGCTCTGGGAGAAGTCATTAAGCTAGGGCCCACATACTTTTTCCTCCCTGCACTGTGAATGTTTACATGTTATGTGCAATTAAACCATGGCAACATCTAATGTTTGTGTAGTATTATGTTCAGCAGACTGTGTTCTTCTATTGTTGTGACTTAGATGACATTCAGAGCACATTTTATGCCCAATTCATGCAAAACTCCACGTAATCCCAAGGGGTTCACATACTTTTTCTTGGAACTATACCCCAGGACTGTGTCTATGGATCAGTACCTGGAGCTCAGGCAGCGGATTTGGGAGGTGCTTTGGAGAGGAGCCCTCCAGGTTGCTGGTATGGACAAGGGCAAGTGCTATCCAACCCCACGGGAATGGGCCAGGGACCATCGGATGTTACGGATGCCATTCCTGGGGGAGCGACCCCAGGAGCAATGGGTGACTGAGTTGGACAGGCTGGTCCTGCAGGAGATAGAGCTGGACAACAGATATATCGGGCTCTGCAATGGTACGCAGAGCAGGAATATTTAGGAGTGACAACAGAATGCTCTCCTGAGGGATATGACTTTGGTGGCCCTGGATTGCTGTGGGAGAGCCTTACAGATCATTTTGTGTTTGGCGATGAAGGAGAACCTACCCTGGAGAAGTTGTGAGAAGACAGAGAGGCTGCATTCGGTCTCACAG